TCAATAAAGGACAGAAATGGTATGGACCTAACAGAAGCAGAAGATATTAAGAAGAGGTGGCAAGAATACACAGAAGAACTGTACAAAAAAGATCTTCACCACCCAGATAACTACGATGGTGTGATCACTCACCTAGAGCCAGACATCCTGGAGTGTGAAGTCAAGTGGACCTTAGGAAACATCACTCTGAACAAAGTTAGTGGAGGTGATGGAATTTTAGCTGAGCTATTTAAAATCCTAAAAGATGATGGTGTTAAAGTATTGCACTCAATATGTCAGAAAATTTGGAAAACTCAGCAATGGCCAAAGGACTGGAAAAGGTCAGTTTTCATTCCAATCCTGAAGGCAATGCCAAAGAATATTCAAACTACAATACAATTGTGCGCATTTCACACGCTACAAGCTAATGCTCAAAATCCTTCAAGCTGGGCTTCAACAGTACGTGAACCAAGAAATTCCAGATATACAAGCTGGATTTAGAAAAGGCAAAGGAATCAAAGATCAAATTGCCAACATCCATTGGGTCATAGGAAAAGCAGGGTAACTCCAAAAAACATCTACTTCTGCTTCATTGACTACACTAAGCCTTTTATTGTGTGGATCACAATAAAATGTGAAAAATTCTTAAAAGATAGGAATACCATACCACTTACCTGTCTCTTGAGAAACCTGTATACAGGAAAGAAGCAACAGTTAGAACCAGACATGAAACAATACAGTGATTCAAATTTAGAAAAGGTATACATCAAAGCTGTATATTGTCACCTTGCTTATTTAACTTACATGCAGAGTACATTGTGCAAAATGCTAAACTTGATTCCACAAGCTGGAATCAAGATTACTGGGAGAAATATCAACAACCTCAGACATGCATATGATACCACTCTAATTGCAGAAAGCTAAGAGGAACTAATAAGGGTGAAAGAGGAGAGTGAAAAAACTGGTTTAAAATTAAGCATTCAACTAAGATCGTGGCATCCTGTCCCATCACATTATGGCAAATAGAGGGAGAAAAAGTGGAAGCAGTAGCAGGTTTTAATTTCTTGGGCAAGGACACATATATGTTGTAAGTGAGAGGATAAGAACAGATACTCCATGCAAATAGTAAGCAAAAGAGAGCAGAATGAACTATACCAATATCAGGCAAAGTAGACTCTAAACCAA